AAATAAGATGAAAGTAATGTAGCATCTTGCAAGCAAAGTAATAACCCTTTTGATAACACAGTTACTGTTATACTTGACTCTGTAATTCATAAAGAAGAGTTTTCCTATGTGACTGTAAACTTTTATTGTTTTGTTTGTTGCAAGCATTCTGCCCCTTCAGTGACTTGATTATTTATTCTAAATTTCCCATTATATATTACAGATGAGCTGCTAGAAAAAGATGAACAATTAAGGAAAGTCCTAGAAGCCACATCACCCACAAGCACAAACGATGCATCAAACAAGCCACGTAGGTTTTACATTCGAACATCGGAAGGCAAGTTAATCTCCATCTCTCCGGAAGAAGCAGAAGCTCTTGGACTAAATCATGAGGATAAAGCCGAGGAGAATCAGAAGAAGCTTGTTAAGGCCCTTGCTGGTGTTGGGGACTTTCCATTAAAGAAAGTTCTTGTAGACCAGAAGCGTCTTGAGAAGACCCAGTGTACAGTCTTGATCCCAGACAATGTAGATGTAAAGGATTTTGTGAGCCGAAATGTTCCTCCCGCTGCAGAAAAAGAAGCAACTCTTATGAAAACCCTGAAGTGCTCCTCAGAAGCTCTGGAGGCTCAGTTCTCAACCTCTAAAATCTTTGTTCCCACAAAGACTAACACTACCATTATTGGTGAGTATATAGATAATGATGTGCATTTCCTTAAAATTCATATTGAAACGGAGAGTGGAGAAAGAGATGTTTGTAACATTCTCAAAACAGCTTTAAATACCTATCAGTGCCCATTCTGTAAGAAAGACTTTAAAACAAAAGACCATATAATATCACATATCAGAGTACATACAGGAGAAAGGCCTTACCCATGTGATATCTGTGGCAAAAGATATCGCCAAAGAATTGACATTATTCGGCACATGCGCATTCACACAGGGGAGAAACCATTCACTTGTGGGCTATGTAATGTATCTTTCAATCAGAAGTCTAACTTAAGATCTCATATGAGAATTCACACTGGTGAACGTCCAGTACAGTGTAAGATTTGTGGGAAAGGATTTTCTCGGAACACACATCTAAAGCAGCACATGAAATTACACACAGGTGAAAAACCTTTTTCCTGTCAAATATGTTGCCGCCCATTCCGCTTCAAATCTGGTCTCCAAGCACATGAACGAATACATTCAGGTCTCAAACCCTATGCATGTGGTGTATGTGGGAGGAGCTTCACCCAGGTGGTTGGTTTAATACGCCATGAGAGAACCCATGCTGGAGAAAAACCTTTCCGTTGCCAGAGTTGTGGCAAATCCTTTAATAATCGTGAAAGTTTACAGTTTCATGTTAAGAAGCACACAAGTGAACGTCCATATTCTTGTGATTTGTGCAAGAAAACCTTCACAGACACATCAGCTCTTCGTTGCCATAGAAAAAAATACCACAGCAACATGCTGATATGTGTGATTTGTTTCCGTGAGGACTTTAAAACGCGAATTGAACTAAGAGAACATCTGCGTGCCCATGAGAGAGAAAACTGGGAAGAAAATGAAAGTGGAGATCTTGTACCTCGTATTCAAGAAGGATCTCCACCTTTTGTGAGTATAGACGATACCATGGAGAACATGGAAGAAGGTGAAGAAGAAAACAGGGATGGAGTTGATTTTGACTGTGAAAGAGCAGAGGAAATCCAAGTGGAAGTGGAACTAGATGTGGATGACCCAATTGAGAACGATGATGACTATGCCAACGACAGTGATTATGAGGACCAAGATTTCCAAGGTGACCCTCTTGTTGATCCTTTGATGTGATTCTCAGATTTTTGAAAATTTGGAGATGTGGCTGTAGAATCTCTGGGCAGGAGGGTATGCTCTTCATTGTATTTTTTTATGTTTCGTTTTCATCACTGTTAAAATATTTTGCAAAGTGTCATGTTAAATCATTCCGAGGTGGATGTACTTTATTTGATTGTTATATTTTTCTTTTATTGTTAGATTGATTTTTTTTTTTAGGGGGCTAAATAAGGACATTTGTACATAGTAATCCATTCAAGTGCTTATTTAGTTTACATTAGAATTATATGATAGTTACTCTTTTTTATGCAGTTGAAAACAGAAAAATGTATTTATACAAATTTATGGAAGCTCACAGAAAAAGGAAGTTCGGGCAGATTTTTTTCTTATTATTATTATTATTATTATTATTATTATTATTATTCTTTCTTTTTTTTTCCCCGTAAGGTGCTTTTCAAAGTGTACTCTCAGATAATTACAGGAAATGTTACCCTATTATGAAAAGTGGATTGATTATTTGACTTAGACCATACTTCAGATTGTATTCTCATCTCACACTAGTTTACAAACATAGTGTATATATTATTGCCTATTTTAATAGTGTTTATTTCTGAAAATTTTAACATAAAAGATAAGGAAATGCAAGTTTATACCTGGCTATCAGGAATTTGTTTTAAAATTATAGAATAGTGTTTGAAAAGTTAAAGGAACAATTTTGTCAGTTTATATTTTTATTCTATCAGATACTGTTAAGAGATGCTTTGTTTGTTTATAATGAGAGGGGGATATCCTCCAGAGTTTGTTTAAATGTTAGATTTAATTTGTAATATATGGTTGGTGTCTGTAGTCTTAAGTTATGTAGTCATATATTAATACCCAATGTAAGTACTACAGATAAGGGATATCTTTCCTTGAAACTAAGGTAAAATTGTACCCTTCTGGTTATTAGCTCTCCTGGCCAAATATATAATGACACAACAACTTATGATATATTAAAATGACATTGAAATACCCCTGATTTAGTCATAATCACAATCAACATAATGCATGCATGTAGAAAACCACAAAGAGACCTGTTACCGTGATCCCACCTATTGTGGTACCTTGGAAGTTAGTAGCTTGAGTGCCACCAAGGATCTGTTTGGTGTTAGAACATTTTAGTAAGACAATCTGTAGTAGTTATCTTTCTCTAAGTGCATCTGATCATTTATATTACCAGTAGAGCTGATCAAAATGCAATTTACTCAGGCTTATGAATTTACTTATTTATTTCTTTGTGTACATTTTTTTCAAGTTTGATATGTTGCTCTTGGTTCTGCATTTTTCTTTTTTTAAATCTAAATATTGAATTTTAGATGTGTTTGTGCTAAAGCTTCCAACTTCACTTGATTCATCAGTATTCCAACCATGCTTGCATTATGAAACTTGAGTTTGTAGGAATAATGGCTCTGTGTAATGAGTGTACGATGAATGGAGAGATGATGAATATGGGTTTTCCTCTGAATTATTGAAGGTCTTCCAGAAGTCACAGGATAAAAAAAAAAAATAGATTGTTACTTTACCGTTTTCCAAATGTCTATGATAAATATGTAATATTTAATATTACATAGAGTATATTTTTCAAACATGTTTTATTAATGAATTTTGTACATGTTCACAACACTCAAGAGTTTACACTCAGATAATGTGTGTAATGTACTATAGGTGCCTTATATGTATCCAAGTGTCCTTCCATAGTGCCTTGCATTTTAGACCTTTTGAAGTAAATCATTGATGATATAGAAAGCTTTTATTAACCTGCATATCTATAAGTATCCATTCTATAATTGTGTGCACATTTTTACATATTGATCTCAATGTCTCCCTCTTTCTTTCACCTTTTCTCCACTCTTGTTTAATGAACTACTTTTAGCATAGTTATAGTTATCAAATTTTGATACACAATTTGACCATTATTTTAACATGAGAAGATAATACAAAATGAGCCTTACAAGTTTCTGCAGGAACAGTATACTGTGATCTTTTCACTACATCATCTCAAAAAAGTAAGAATGTGTAGTGTTACCCAACTTTCATGAAGCCAACTCCTTCCATTTTGTATCACAATAACAAGAACATAACTGTGACTCAGTTATTCATATTTTTTGGGGGGGGAAATTACAGAAGAAAAATGGGATTTTTTTATTTATTTATTTATTCATCTTTACAGTCAATCCATCTGAAACAGAAGATCCATCATATACTCATCAGAGATGGTCTTTTTATCTGTTACTCCCATTGCTGTTGCTAAGAGTGCTGCAAGAACATGTTTACACATAACACTTTCTTTCTTTTTCAGCACAGAAAACTTAAATGCTGGACACTGACAGAAAATAGAGTCAGGTAAACATACATAGGGAGTGCCAGCACTTCCAGTGACCTGGTACACCCATCGGCCACTGCTAGAAGTGACTATCGTAACCTGAAAAAAAGGGGAGCAAATGATCACTAAATTACAAAAAAAAAAAAAAAAGTTCTCTACATTGTTCACTGCAAAAAATTGTGTAACATATGTAAACTATTCACATTCCAAAAATTACAGGTTTATTATTAAAACTGGGCTGTATGTGAGTATCTTCCATGCCACATTTCCATTCTGCTAGACAGTAATATTTAAACAGATAACTAATACTACAGAACAACACTACCAGTCAAGATGATAAAAGTAAAAGATATAAGAATAATATTCATTTTTTACATTGCTAAGAATTGGGAAAAATATCAATGTAATTTACCTTCTTACAGTCAATCAAGTCCAATGCACTGACAAGTGTCTGCCCATGAAGCATGTGCAAAGAACGTAGTAACTCTGACGACAGGTGGCCTGCAGACTCATATTCTGACTTTACAACACCGAGCAAGCCATGCATTATTGCCAAAGTGTCAGGAACCTTGGGCATTGTGTCTGAAACAATTGGAAAATTAAAATATCATTTCAGTCCTTTTCAGGATTCATCTTGGCTATATGTATACATATACTTACAAGAGAGAAAAAATAAAGAGTAACAAACTAAAGAAAAAAGTGTAAATGTATGTTGCACACACATTTTTGCTGGCATTAAAATTAATATACTATTATTGACAATACTAATGGCAATATAAAAATTTTTAAAAAATCCATAAATCAAGGAAAAAGGTAAACAAGGCAAGATATGAAGGATTACAAATGGAGTGGTAATGGGTCACCAAGCAACTGCAATCTGGGTATAAATATATAAAAAAAAAGTTGTATTCAAAATGAGTATCCTTAATTATCCTTCACTAATCTGCTTTCTTCTTTATAATAACCCAAAATCAATTAGTAGAGGTAATATATCAATACAAACTATATCATGAGCTGGATTTTTCATGATTTCATTAACTGGAATTAAAGCAAACAGAGACGGAGCTTGCAAAGTGGCCTGAACAATGCCTCATCATATTTAGTTATTCACAAATAGGACATCCTCCAACAGATCTGATATCAAAGCCTTCAATGCAATCTAAAAGGTGGTATCTGTTACAAACAGGACTACACCTAGCTTCTTGCAACACTATGGCCTTTGCATTTTTCCACTAAAGCAAAAGCTAACAAACCTCTACCCTATATATTTGCGCTTGAGTGCTTGTATTTTACATTCCTGGTCTGGGTGAATACTGAGTTAGAATACTAGATACTTCCAGATCCAGTCTTTCATTCCTTATTATGTTTGCAGTTACTCCAACTCTGGAAGTCTGTCAGTGTCTTATTCCTAGCCTACCCTCTTTTTTGCAACTTCTTGTTGGAGCACCCCTGTTTAAACACAGAAGCCAATAAGATTATGATAATTATCCACCAGTGGTTGAATTATTAACAGTCACAGAAACATTTTTTCTGCATCTCCAAATTTGCCACTTGTCTTTAAATTATATACTTATATTTTGAGGTAATACTTTTTGTTTTACGAGTAAATTAAATGTATTAACTACAGGTTTCATTTTCATTTAAGGTAAACTAAGATAATATATGTAAAGTATTATATATTACTCTGCTGACAGTATGTTATATTTCTATATGTATTACTCTTCTCCAGCTTTTTTTCATTTCTTATAAGGCAACTAGTAGGTCATACAGAAGACTGATTTTTTTTGCACATTAAATCTGCAATTATCTGATGAACTATCGACTGGCTTCTCCACTAAAATGAGCACCTTACTATTTTTTTTTCCTTTGTTGGTCCCTTAACCATAGTGGGTACCCACTGGATTAATCATCAGACTCACAAAGTCATGGGAATCTTGCTTCAGTGCATCTATATTACTTTTAATTAAGCTTCAATATTTTAGGTCTACTTTAGGGTATTAAAGCTCAATATGATTAATAGCTGAGTGATACCTTATGTAACAAATGTTTACATTTTTTTGGTCTAGTTTTCAATTGAAATGGCAACTCTTTATATATCACATGATACCCTACTCTTAAAAATATTGAACACTACTAACTAAAAAGTAAATATCAAATCCAATAACATTACGATGTTCCAGGATCAAAACAATATATAATTTCATATAAACTTCAAACAATACAATTTATGGCAGTATGCTTAAAGACAAAGAAATTGTATAATGGACATAAGTTCTTAAACCAATTTTCTTATGCTAATCTTTACAATTATAGAAGTCTAAATGTAATTTTAGGACTGTCAGTTTCAAAAATACAATGTTATGTTTGTGCATCTTTTTAATATATCAGTAAATTTTTTGTGGTATTATTTCTTAGAAAAGGATTTTGTGCTTCAAAGAGTGGACTCCAATTTCTTTAAGCATACCATTTGATTTAAATTCATGAAGATAAGGAATGTTCCTTGACTTGGCTAAGAGGTATAGTCACATTTGTCCTTTATAACAAAAATACTTCCTCTTTTTAGGCTTTTTTGGGTTTTAGGCTTTTAATTTGACTCCTCCCTTGGCACCCTCCTCAACCTTGTATCCCTACCCTTCCCATGGATCCCTCTCCCCCGCTTGGGCATGGCAGCCTTTACTCCTCTTAGACACATGTGGCTTCCACATTATTTTATGAAGCCGCTTATTCTAGTAAGCGTGTCAACTTCTCCCAAGCTTTACAATTTCTAGCAATCAAACATGGTCATTGATATTTAATAGTAACTCGTTTCTCAACGTCCCCACAACTATTTTACGCTATATCTAGACCTGTTAAGCACCAAAGGAAACTTACTACCACTTTAAACATTTATAGCGAATATTCTCATTTGCTGCGAATACTTTGTTTAGATCCAGTCCGTCGTTGCTATTACCACGTGACGTTACGACTTCTGCACTCTATTCAACAAGTCCTTTGACTCCCAATGTTCCCCGGTACCGATGATCAATGTATCCTATGAGGTACCTATTCCGCCATGTTTATGTGCCATAAGCATGCAAATAATATCTACACTAATGTATATTTGTCGCAGTGTGTGGATATGACCTGACGCTTGGCATGTATGATGAATCTCTCTCGTAGTAGGTGTAACTTTACAGTCCTCTGGTGTGAGATACACAGAATTGTGTGTTTACCCGCTCCTACCTGGTCTTCGGACGGGGAGCGGGTCACCTCCTATGTTATCAGCATGGCTAGTGTTGCTAGTGGAAGTAGATCCCATAAGAGAGAAAGTAGGGAAGGAAGCGTAGACATGAGTGACAATGAGAATGGATGCAAGCGGGAGAAGAGGA